CTCGAAGTTTTCGGTTCCCAGAGCGTTCTTGTGTTCTTTGACTGTCCCGTTTTCATGGTGTCCTTGGAAGGATGCTGAGTGAGGAGGGGAAGGGGTGTATAAAGTGGCCTGGGCTCCTCACTCTGCCTTCCTCTCTCCCCTGAGAGCCGCCTCTGAGGTCGCACATGGCTCCTCCAGTCTGGATTCTGGTGCTGCTGGTCGGGGCTGCCTGGGGCCAGGGCCACATGCCTGCCACCGCCAGGTAAGCTGGGCTCAGGGGGTGATTGAGGATGGCTCTGAGGAAGAGCGAGGGGCAAAGCTGGAAGGGGCAAGTGGGCCAGTGATGGAGGGCATAGCCCTGGGGAGGAAGGCGGGAGCCCGATGGGTATGACAATGACAATGACAATGAGCAGGGGTGGGTGGAGCCCTGCAGCCCCAGAGCCTGGAACTGGGGTGTGAGCCGCTCAGGCGGGGCAGGACAGAGCTGAAACGTGTGGAGAGAGGGAGGAGGGGGCAGAACTGGGCAGACAGGTCTGAGGATGGCAGGGGAGGAGAGAGAGGTTGGGCCCTCAGACTTGGGACAAAACTCAGGGCAGACCGAGCAGATAGAGACTTCAAGTAGGAAGCAGCAAGAAATGATGGATGACCTGGAGCTTGTTTGAGGGGGTTTGAACAAGCAGGACTTGAACTCTTAAAACAAAGGGGGCTGTTCTATGCGGCCCACACCACCTGGGGAGGGGCAGCCAGCCTCTCTGTGGAATTTGTGAGGTGTCACTCATCTGCGTGTTCAGTTGGGACAATACCATCCCTGGCGCCCACCTGGCAACACAGGATCCACAGAGTCCCTACTCTATGAGCCCAGGGAAAACGTGGGCTCTAGCATAGGAAGACCTTGACCCGACGCAAGGAGATTCCCCAGGTGTAGACTCAGCTGTGTGAGAATTCCTGTACGCAGGAACTGGTTCTTCCTCACAAGAGACAACCACACATGACATCTAGGGTAGGGAGGGGTGGAGGGAGCCAGCGGGGCTGTGAGGCACTTGGAGAGGAGACCCTTCTTAGGAGACAGATGAGAACTGAAAGTGAGGAGACTGCGAGCGACCTTTTTGAAAATCTTCAAGTAAATACATGTTCACTGCATACACTCTGATACCATAGGGATGATGGGAAAGGAACAGTCCTTCAGGAAGCTCACAGTCATGGAGGCTTACAATTCTGGACGATGACCAGGATTACATTTTTTCTCTCTCTCCAAACCAACCCCAAGGAAAGAGAAGCCTCTGGACCAGAAGCTAGTGGCTCGCAGCTCCAGGGACAAGTGTGAGTTGGAACCCAGGACTGCTCAGCCCTCCTCTCCCTCCAGGGGTGGCCACCCCAAGTGGCCTCGGGACCAGGCAAGGACATAAACATGTAGTAAATGCGTGAAGGGCAGCCCTCAGATGATACAGGGTGGAGAACACTGGGGAGGAGTAGAGTACAAGCCCCGCCTGAAAGATTCACATGCAAATTATCAAGAACAAACGGTATGCTGCCCAGACAAGCCTGCCTGCCGGGGACCTCAGTCTGCAACAACCCCTGATTTACTCATCCTGCCCCCCACCCAGTCCCGCCCTGATTTCTCCCAAGAGGTGACTTATTGCTTGGCTTCTCTTCTCAAATTCCTGCATTGGACCCTCAACCTTAGTGGCCACCTTCTCTAAACTTCACAACCTTGCTCGCCCCCACCCCCAGGCTGCGGCCGAGCCCCTCCCCTTGCCTTTCCTGGCCTCACAGTGGCCCCTTCTTCCCAGCCGTTCTCACCCAGTGTGATTTTGAGGATGACTCCAGACCCCTCTGTGATTGGACCCAAGGGTCCATGGATGATGGGGACTGGATTCGAGCCAGTGAGCCCTCTCCCACTGACAGCACCGGACCCCCTGGGGGGTACCCCAATGGAGGTGAGGAAACCTAGGCTTAGGGAGGCATCTGGGAGGTGGACACGGGCAGTTCCCAGTACAGGGAGGCGGCCGGAAGAGGATGCTTGGGCTCTGGGAAGGGGGTGGGGGGCAGGCCTTGGAGGTGGCAGGGCCTCACCGTCCTGGGCTCTGCCTCCCCCAGAGGGCTACTACCTGTACATGGTACCAAACCACTTCCACCCGGGCGGGGTGGCCCGCCTGCACAGCCCCCCAATATGGGAACAAGGCCCCCTCTGCGTGCACTTCGCCTACTACATGTTCGGACTGTCGTGGGGCGCCCAGCTCAGACTGCTGCGGACCACGGGCACCAAGGGCAAACGCCCCATCGTGCTCTGGAAACACACTAACACGCAGAGCCCCTCCTGGATGCCCACTGCCGTCTCGGTGCCCACTGGGCTCGTCCTGCCCAGCCGGGTGAGGCTGAGGGCAGAGGCTGGGTTCTTGGTGGGGGGAGCCCAGGAAGGGCTGGGCTGGGACAAGGAGGGGACACGGGTGGCTAGGCCATCTGAATTCGGGCGGGAAGGTGGGAGCCCGAGGCAAAGGGGCTCACAAGGTGGGTGATCCCCTCTTCCTTCCCGCAGCTGATATTTGAAGGAGTGCGGGGCAGCACCGCTTACCTGGGCATAGCTCTGGATGCCATCTCCATCCGTCGGGGCTCCTGCAATCGGAGTGAGCCCCTGTCCCTCCTCCTCTTTCTCCCCACCTCTGCACATCTGCCCTAGCAGGGTAGCTCAGGGACCATGACCCTGGTTCTTTCTAGGCTACTTGCTTCCCTCTACTTCTGCACCCCAGACCTTTGACTCCTGAAGCAGTCACACCTAAAGAGAGGTTCTCTTGGAATCTCCAATTGTGGTGACACCTGTCATTCTGGATGGTCCTGGGCTGTCCATATTTTAGCACACTCAGGAAACCCTCAGTCCCAGGCACACCTGAATGTTTGGCCATCCTGCCTGTTACTCCAGATCCACCCAGAATTAGCCCTCTGAGCTGACATTAGAGATTCGAGGGGAACAAATTCAAGGGAAAGAACATTCCAGAAGCTGCATGCAAGGAGCTAACACTTAACTGAGGACAGGCCTGTGCTAGATGCTCCTGCCCGTGATGTAATTAACAACAGGCAGGTACTGTTGTTCCTAGTTCATTGATGGAGAAACTGAGGCTTAGGAAGCTTAAGTAACCTGTGCTAGGAACACAGTGGCTGAGGAGAGGGGATCTTAAATGGCTTGCAAGCCTGCCATGGCTCACAGTAGGACCCAGATTGGGACTCAGAATTCTGACTCCAGACTAAGGTATACTTTTCTGAGCTGCCTCCTTCTACTTAATGCTGAGTCCTTCCTCCTTGCTTTCTTCTCAGTCTGCATGATGCAAATGTGCAGCTTTGATACCCCAAATGATCTCTGTGGCTGGAGCTGGATCCCAACGACCTCTGGGGCCAAGTGGGTCCAGAAGAACGGGTCGACGGGGGTACTGAACGTGGGGCCTGAGGATGACTTCTCTAGCCCTGGCAGTGAGTAGTGGCCACGCTTCCATCCTTTGACTTTCTTCTAGTGACCTCTGTGGGAGTTCACGATGTTTGCCTGACAAGTCGACCATAACTCTCTTGGGATGGCCTGGGGTGAATCCCAGCAACCTCAAGTCTCTATCAGCCCAAGTTATACAGCAGAAAGCAAACTCTATCACCTAGCCATCTTCCCCCAAAAGCCCTCCCTGGCCCATCCGACACGGCCAGCTCCTTACCTCTTTTCCCTGGCACCCTTCATTCTTCATTCATCCAACAAATATTTATTAAGCACTTAGGATGTGCAAGGTACTGTCCCAGGCCCTTGAGATGCATCAGCTTACAAAACAGATGGGGAGTGGTGGGAGGCAATGGAAAGATAGTTCCTGAAACAACAAAGAAGTAAATTATATAGTTATGAGGTGAGTGCTAAAAGAAAAAAAAATTTGAACAAAGTAAGGGGATTGGGAGAGCAGAGTAGGGTAGGTTGCAAGTTTTAAACGGGGGGTCAGAGTAGGTCTCATAGAGGTCACATGTGAACACAAACTTGAAGGAGGTGAGGGAGTAAGGCATGAAGTTATCGAGGCAAAGAACATTCTAAGAAGAGGGTCCAGCCATGCAAAGACCCCAAGAGGATGAGCTCAGACCTGTCCTGGGAGGGGCTGACCACGTGGAGCCTTGAAGGCCACTGTCAGGACTATCTGTGGCTTTTATTCCACGTGGATGGGGAGCCTTTGCACGATTTGGAGCAGAGGAGTGACTAGATCTGACTTATGCTTAAAAGGCTCACCTGGTTTCTTGTGTGAGACTCCACTGAAGGGACCGGGCAAGGGCAGAGGCCATTCTTGTCCATCTTTCCCAACCCCCAACTCCACGCTCTCCTTCCTCTGATCTTTCCTTTCCTCTTCTCTCCCACTCACGCCCACTCCTTCCTCTTCAGCCGTCTCCTCCGTCTTCTCTCCCTTCCGAAGCCCACCTTTCCCGCCCCGGAGGCGCGGGCTCAGCAGGCAAAACCCCGTGGGCGTTGGGCACGTGCACGCACGCGTGCGCGCTGTCGGCGGCAGCTTTAATCCCTCCCCCACCCCACCCCACCCCCGCTACCAGTTTCATCACGAAGCGAGGTCCAAGCTGATTGGCTGCCTGAGCTTGTGGCGGGCAAAGATGGTGGTGAGGGGATCCCCTGTTCGTCAGCATCAGGCTCACTCTCTCACCAGTTTGTGTGAATCAGCCATGTCCAGGGGGCCAAGAAAAGGAAGAGGATATGACTTTGGGGGACCTAAAAGGTCAGAATCCAAAGGACAAGGTTCTGGCTGCTGCTTCTGAGAGGATGCCGCTTTTCCTAGGCAGTACCTGCATCCTCATCCAGACCTACCAAACACTTCTGGAAGGATCCAAGGCCTTAGCCAGTCGTGAGGCAGGTGTAGGCCCACCTCAGTGCTGGCTAAGCCTAGGCAGCTGTTAGGGATCCTCAGGGCCAGGCTCCTTGCCCTTGCAGCCCCTAACCCTATGCCATACAGCCCCTAATTCCAGCCACCACCACCCTCCCGACTTAACTGGCCTTTTCCTTCCCAGGTGGCTTCTACATGCTCCTGGACGCCAAGAATGCAAAACCAGGGCAGAAATCTGCCCTCCTGAGCCCTCTGAGCCAGTCCTCCGGCTGCCTGAGCCTGTCCTTTCACTACACCCTCCATAACCAGTCCCCGGGTGCAGCCCTTATGATCTACGCTTCTGTCTTGGGTAAAAGTGGCTAAGCCCCAGGATTTATAATGACTTGAGGCTCTTCTCCCAGGATTGGGTTGATAAGGAGAGGTGGGGAATCCCTCAGTGTCTACGGAAATCTGGGATATGTGCAAGATTATTCCATGGAATGGAATCGGGGAGCTGGGAGGGCACTGGTTTCTGGAAAAAATAGATTAAAATGCTGGAAGAGTGAGAGAGACGAATGTACCTGCACTTAGGGGAGAGGAAGACCTCCAAGTATTCTCTTTGCTACTCATCCTTCTGAGTGTAAGTTTGAAGTCATTTTCCTATCCCGTTAATCCCACAAGTCTCTCGGATTCCTTCCATTGTAGGCAGCATCCGGAAACACACTCTCTTCTCAGGACAACCCGGACCCAACTGGCAGCCTGTTTCTGTCAATTACACAGGCCAGGGGTGGATTCAGGTACAGGAAAGCAAGAGATTGAGCCTCCTAGAATGTGGGATACACCCCCGATACAGAAATGGATTGAGGGTCGGAGCACTGGAGGCGCCTGGGTCCCTGAACAGAATAAAATCAGATGGAGAGGGGCTGAACGTTTGGGGTGTTTTCTCACTCCAGCCCCCTCTCTTTTCAGTTCACCATGGTGGGCGTGTTTGGAAAGATCCCCGAGCCAGCTGTGGCGGTGGATGCAATCAGCATCGCTCCCTGTGGGGGTGAGAGCGGCTCTCAGAAGTGGGGGGCAGAAATAGAGAGCATGGCCCACATTTCTCAGATCTCCCATTTTGATCCCCCAGAGAGCTTTCCTCAGTGTGACTTTGAAGACAATGCCCACCCTTTTTGTGACTGGATCCAGATATCCCAGAATGGTGGACACTGGACCCAGGGAAATGAAAGTACACCCATCCAGGGTCCAGGCCCCTTCGGAGGCTCCCTCAGTGGAGGTGAGGAGATGGAGGACCCCTCAAGCCAAGCAGTTACCGAATTTGCTCTCTGCGAGGGGCCCGGCTAGTGTGATTGATGGAAGATCCTGTAGGTGGTGAGGATCAGCCAGCAGGTGCTTGTTGGGTCACTTGAAACCCCCAGAGAATCCAGGCATCTCACTTCGTTGAGCCCATGCCTTCAAAATCCACTGTGTCATTTTTCAGTCAAGACATTTACTGGTGCAGCCAACAAAGGAAGCTGGGTTGCTGGTTTGGTTTTCCCTCTCTTTCTGGTCCTGCCTTCTTCAGTTAGAAGTCTAAAATGAGCAAGAAAAAACAAAACAAACAAACAAAACTCCCCACTCTAACGTGGGGAGTTTGGGCGTTTGCATCAGATCCCCATTTGGAAAGTAAGATGTCGCTAAAGAAAACACTAGACTTGTCCTCTGGAGGTCTCTCAACTTACCTGTTCCCTTCTTTTGCCCAGAAGGTCACTATGTCTACCTGCAAACTGACAAGGTCTCCCAGGCAGGCCAGGCTTTCCGACTGGTGAGCCGGCCCTTCTGCGCCCCGGGTGCGATCTGTGTGGAGTTTGCTTACCACATGTATGGCCTCGGAGAGGAAGCGAAGCTCAGGCTTCTGCTGGCGAGTCCTGCAGGCAGTTCCCCAAGTTCTCTCTGGGAACGCGTTGGGTCTCAGAGCCCTGACTGGCTGAAAGCCTCTGTCACCATCCCTTCGGGACATCAGCGGCCCATTCAGGTGAGAGACGGAGAGGGGCCCTGCCAGCATCACCATGGGGCCTGGTGATGGGGACCTAATGCCGGGGGGTCTGAGAGCACAACCGGGGCTGAGAGGATGGGACTCCGGAAGAGAGCAGAGCAGGGGAACCCTGTGATTCCCAGAAGTTTCTCTGGCGGGCCCCCGTTGGACTGTGGCGGCCACCGCAAGGCAACATCTCGGTGGAGCCCAGAGAGTCATTGAGTTGCCAGGGGTTCCCTTTCGTTTCTCTCTTCCTCCTTTCTCCCTCATGCCTTCAGCTGACATTCGAGGCTGTCAGGGGCACCAACACTGCCTTCGTTGTTGCTGTGGGATTCACCTCGATCAACCACGGGACCTGTCGGGGTAAGACAAGACCCAAGGCCCCAGAAAGGGGGCCATGCTCTGGGGTGACCAGCTCTTGGGCTTCTCTGCCTGTGCTCCTCAGAATGCAAGTCCCCTCTTGTGCCCGAGTCCTCACACAGCTTTGGTTTCTATACTCTGCCCACTTGTACCTTCCCGGCCCCCCTCAGATGCTTGCTTGAGTGAATGTGGCTTTGATGTCACGGATTTCTGTGTTTGGATCCAGGACCCCTTACCTAGTGAAAGGTGATCCTGCAGGGAGGGCCGACATCCTGTTCGTTCCGTGTTTCCTGCGCTCAGCACGGCATCAGATATCTATGGGGAGCAGCTTGTTGAGTGTTGAGTGGAGGCTGGGGCTGGGAGTGGACGGGGAGGTGTGAATAACTTATCCCTTTGAGCCCACCCACTCCAGTTGGATGTGTCAAGAGGGTGGTGGTATGATTTTGACTAAACTCCAGGAAATTTTTTTTCTTTACAGGCCCTGAGCCAACAGTGCTTCCTTCCAAATCTCCAGTCCCCACTACAGTCCCTTCTGAAACCTCTGTCTTCACAGAAAAACCTATGGCCCCCACAGGAAAACCATCTGTCCCCAGTGAAATAGCCACTGTCACCACAGAAAAGCCCACTGTTTCCACTGAAAAACCTACAATCCCCACAGAAAGTCCTACAGTCCCCACAGAAAAACCTACCATCCCCACTGAAAAACCCACCGTCCCCACCAAAAGGACCACCACCCCCACTGAAAGGATCACCATTACCACTGAAAGGACCACTATCCCCACAGAAAGGATCACCATCCCCACAGAAAAACCCACAGTCCCCACCCAGAGGACCACCATCCCCACTGAAAGGACCACCATTACCACTGAAAGGACCACTATCCCCACAGAAAAACCCACGATCCCCACTGAAAGGACCAGAGCCCCTGCGACACCCCAGTCCAGCCCTACCCTTGTACCCACTGGGCCAACAGTCCTGGGGGTGCCTCCTGGTGCTCCAAGTACCTCCATGACCACTGTGACCCCGGCCACCACTACAGGTATGTGGTAGAGCATTGGACAAAGAGATGAAAGTAAGAGACAGTGACTGGGTGACAGGGCTGGGGAAACAGCTGCTTCTAGTTGAAAACTACAGTCTCAGAGGAGAGATGAATCAGACATGGTGACTTTAGAAGAAGTGATGAGGAATCCTGAGTGAGAGGGACAGCAGGGCGCGGGTGGGATGGGGATGGTTGGAATGCAAGCACCAGGCTACTACTTCTTTTTTTTATTGAAATATAATTCACTGCCATAAAAATTCATCTTTTCAAAGTATACAAATCAGTGGTCTTAACAGAGTCACAAGATTGTGTGAACATCACCACTTACCAATTCCAGAGCCCTTTCGTCACCCCAAAGAGGAAGTCTGTGCCCATTAGCAGTTACAGCCCATTCCCCCACCTTCACATCCTTGGCAACCACTCATCTACGTTCTGTCCCTATGAATCTGCCTGTTGTGGACATTTGATACACAAGGAGTCATATACTGTGTGGTCTTTTGTGACTGGGAGAATGGGAGCAGGGCGTAGAGGGGAGACTGGAGAAAAGCTGTAGAGTGGAGGTTTGATGGAGCCTGTCTCCCCCTTAGTGAACTGCCCCCCAGATGCCCACTTTGAACCCTGCGCCTGTCCGGCATCCTGCCAGAGCCCCACACCCAACTGTGGGCGCCCCTGCAAGCCCGGCTGTGTTTGCAATTCTGGCTTTTTCTTCAATGGCTCCCGCTGCATCAACGCCTCTTCCTGCAATTGCTTCTACAATGAAAATTTCTATAAGGTGAGACCACTGGGCCGCCCAGCTCCCCTGAGGGAGAGGGTGAGCCGAAACCCTGGGGTCTGGCCCCGCCTGCTGTCCAGGTGAGATGAATTTGGATCCAAGGGATATTCCCAAGGGGTCAGCTCTCTGGCAGTGGTTACACAGTGGGGGAGTCATTCATTTAGCGTGTGGTTTTTGATTGTCATGTCTATTCACATAAGAAACATTTGTTAAGCACTTACTTTAGACCAGCATGACGCTGGGCAGTGCGGAAGTTTCCGTCGTCATCCGTGGCCCTGTCCTGAGTGCTCCCGGCAGTCCTGATGTTTCTGTATTTCTCCATCTCACATTGGCAGCCATGATACATTAGACACTAGACCAACCAGGTGGTGCAGGGCCCTCATCTCTATCCTGAGGAAAGTCAGGGGGCCCTGCATAGACAGAGAGCCCTGGGAGGGGAAGGTATAGCTCAGTGATAGAGCGCATGCCTAGCACGCACTAAAATAAATAAATAAATAAACCTAATTACCTCCCCCAACCAAAAAAAAAAAGAAAGAGAGAGAGAGAGAGAGCTCTGGACACTGAGCCTGATTCAGGTATTTTCAAGGCAGAATGAGGCATTCCAGAATCTTCTTCCAAAGGAACTTGCAAATTCTGATTGGAGAGGTCAATGGACAGTAGTTACTGTTCTTGTCTTCCCTGATTGATGTACCCCCCCACCCCGCCCCGGAAGGTTCTACTAGAGCAGAGGCTCTGAAGGGGCGCAGGTGCTGGGTCAGCGCCATCTGAAAGGGACAGTGTGCAAGCCTCACATGGCATGTATGTGTCCTAATAGCAGATTTTAGAAAAGCACAAGGAAACAGATTATATTAACCCAAATCATCTTCTCAGTCCCAAATATTCTCATTTCAACATGTAATCAGTGGTTATCAATCAATGAAATCATTTATATACCTTTTTTTTCCTACTGAGTCTTCAAAATCCAGTGTGTATTTCACACTTAGAGCGTATCTCAGTTTGCAGCGGCCGCATTTCACGAGCTCTCTGGCCTCACGTGGCTGGTGGCCATGGCACTGGACAGCCACCCTCCAGTCAGGCGGGTCTGAGCTTGAATCCAGGCTCTAGCACTCATTTGCTGAGTGACCTCCGGCCAGGTTCTTTACCTTTTCGAGTTCATTTGCACACCTATAAAATGTGCACAGTAAGATTATCTACCTCATAAGGTTGTTGTGAAGATGAAGCTAGATCCTGACAAGACCAATTACTTAATAAATGCTAATTATGATTATTAGCAATTTATGATCAATATATGTGACCTGTTAACTAAAAGTGCTGTGAACTATTTATGAGAGTCTAGTGCCTCTTCTCAGCTCCGGGTGTTCTTCCCCTGGGCCGTCCGAGTTCCCGCTCGTCTCTTGAGGGGACACTTCCTCCCCAAACCCTCTTAAGCAGTCTCCTGGGTGTCCCTGTGTCAGCATTAGGATTAGCTGAAGCTGCAGCCTGGGTAGAAAGATCTGTCACAACCGTCAGCAGCAAGCATCTCTTTCCTCCGCCCTGAGAGATATGTATGCACTTATTGTATGTTCACTTATGCATTCAGCAAACATTTACTGGCTACCTTCAATCCTCTTGGCATTGGGGTCTCCATGTATAGGGCATGTCCTTGCTCTCCTCGTGCTGTCAGATTCTGGGGGACCCGTCGAGCCTTGGTTCACTTTTTCAATCAGTATTTATTAAATGAGAACTCTTTACCAGGCACTGTGCTACCTGTTGGTGCTAAGAAAGCGAGTGAAGATAGACACAGTCCCTCGCAGGGGTGCTTCTAATCAAATAGCCACAAAGATTAATATAAAAGTGCAATCATGGCAAGTCCTGGGAAGGAAAGGCACCAGGGGCTAGTCAGGGAGGTCTGAGATGTCTTCCTGAGGAAGCGCAACCCTTGAGCCAGACTTCGCTGATCGCAGAGCAATGGTTTAGAAAGAGGCAGAGGGACGACGGGCCTTCCAGGGTGCAAGCACAGCATATGCAAAGCGCCTGGGTTGGGCAGGAATATCTGCTGGGTGGTGAGGAGAGCAGGAGTCTGAGCAAGGTGAGGTCTGCAGGCGTGGAGGAGAAGAGGGGGCTACAGTATGAAATGATGGATTCTGCCCGGGAGCTGCAGCCTCGTGACTCCAGCTCCCTTGCTCTCAGCCGGGGTCAGAGTGGTTCAGCCCCAACTGCACAGAGCGGTGCCGCTGCTGGCCTGGCAGTCGGATGGAGTGCCAGGCCTATAAGTGCGGGGGGCGCACAGTGTGCCAGCTGAAGAAGGGCCAGTACCGATGCCACCCCTATGGTGAGACCCGCTCCTCACACTGTCCCTGCCTGTCCACGTGGGCATGACACCAGGGGCCCAATCCCTCCATTGACCAGAAGAGCTGGGGCAGGCCACTGGGTGGGTGAGGTGGCACGGGGCCTGGCCTGGTGAACCAGCTTCACGTGTCCCCTGCATCCCCTTGGCAGGCCCTGCCACCTGCTCCGCCTACGGAGACCCTCATTACCTCACCTTCGACGGGAGGCGTTTTAACTTCATGGGCAAGTGCACCTACATCTTGACTCAACCCTGTGGCAACCTGACAGGTAGGACCTGAGGGGTCTGAGGTCGGAGCAGCTGGGCCCTGGAGTGCTGCAGCCAGTAGGACAGGGCCAGAGCAGACAGCAGGGCAAGATGGGAGCGAGGCCAGCTGGACAGTAAGGGGTGTGACACGTCCACCCCAGAAGCAGGACTCCCAGGAAAAAGTCCTGGGGGAAACGCAGGTTGAGACACTTCCCTGCATCAGTTGCTTCCCTGGCCAGCTGATTGAGGCAATAAAGGCACGAGAGAAGTAGCACAAACACCTGTCCTGGAGGATGTCCCCGTCCACTGAGGGGGGACGGATTCACAGCACATGGGCCCAGGCTGTTCTGGATGACACCCCACTCTCGTTGGGGTCCTGCCTCCCCTCTTGAACCGCAGAGCCTCTGTCTCTGTGGCCTTTATCCCCGAGGGCTGGATAGGGGTGCCACCCTCAGTGGGTGCTCAAAAATGCTTCCTGAATGAGCCCACCCTCTCCCTGCCCAGAGCCATTCTTCAGGGTGACAGTAAAGAATGAGCATCAAGGACAAGAAGGCATGTCCCACCTAAGCAAGGTCTATGTGACTCTGCCTGAAACCACCATCACCCTGCTCAAGGGCAGACGCACGCTGGTGAGTCCGTTCTCCACTCAGGCTGGCTGCGGCCCATCTGGTGGGCCACCGTGGCCTCGTCCCGCCCAGCTCCTCCAGCTTCCCAACCCTCCAGAGCATTGCACGTGGAGTGGAAGAGATCATTAGCACCACAGTGGGGATGCGGGAGTCCACTGGGGGGTCCTCCTTGACCCTCGGATCTGTCTCTCTGTCTCCTCCCTCGGCCCCACCTTCCAGGTTGGGGGTCAGCTAGTCACCCTTCCAGCCATACCTTCTAAAGGCGTCTTCCTGGCTCCAAGTGGGCGATTTGTGGAGCTGCAGACGGCGTTCGGTCTGCGGCTGAGATGGGACGGTGACCAGCAGCTGTTTGTGACTGTGCCCAGGTGAGGGCGCCACCCAGCGAGGCAGCTGCCGGGTCACCCACTCTGCCCCTCCCCCTCCAGGGACCCTCCCATCCAAGTCCTCTGACGTCCCCGTGGCACGAATTCCCAGTTGTGACGAGGAAGCAGCCAGTTCAACCCGCAGGCTTCCCTTTGGTCAAGGAAGGGGAAGAAATGGTTTCAGGGCAGCGTCAAAGTAGCAAGATATAGACACAGGCTTTGGGAATGTGCTAGAAGGAGTCACCAGTGAGCCATGGGAGCCTTCAGGAGAGTGGTCTCTTGACCCCAGTCTTCAAGGAAGAGTAGCTCCCCAGATGGACAAACAAGGGAAAGAAAGGCTTTATAGAAATAGTGAACAACAATCTTGAGAAAGGGAAGTGGAATGTCTGAGGGCCAGCAAGAGGTTTGCTGTGGCTGGAAGATGGGATGTGAGCAGAAGGGGCTGAGGGGAGATGTAAAAGATGCCCCAAGCGTGAGGGCCACGATGAGGTCCCTGTGCACCTGGTGCCTGGCATGGAACCTCTGTTCCAAGTCCGCATCTCGCCACCCACCCCCAGCTCATGCCTGCGCGCCCTCCTCATCCCCTCTCTGCTGTGGTCCCTCGGATGACGGATGATGGAGGCCTCTTCTCTCCGCTCACACCTCCTCCTCCCCCGGCCCTTGCAGCACCTACTCTGACAAACTCTGTGGATTCTGTGGCAACTATGATGGCGACAGCAGCAACGACAACCAGAAGCCAGATGGCAGACCAGCACGAGACGAGGTGGAGCTGGGTAACAGCTGGCAGACCTCAGAGGATGAGGACCAGACGTGAGGAACTCCCCCTCCGTCTCCACCCTTCTGCTCCTGTGCACCTTCAAAGAACCAGGAACCCCGACCGGCATCACCCCTTCTCCTCTCCCCGGTTCTGCACGCCCCCACGTTGTCGCTCTTCTCCTCGCTCTAGTTCCCAGCCAAGTTCACGAACTGAATTCACGGCCACCAGCAATGCTCACCCTCCCCCCAACAATGGTCCTCAGGCGATTCTGAGCAGCCCCGCCTTTTACTTGCGGGCCTCCGAGTTTTTCCCACCTTTAGGGCTTGGTGTTTAAATGTTTTCCACTAGGGGTTGCTGAGAGCCAGGATACTGCTGGGGTCGGGCCAGGACAGAGGCCAGCCTCGGTCCTCAGGGTGCTTGGGATGGGTCTCTTCCAGGTGCCAGCAGAATCAGGAGTATCCTCCCTCTTGCAGCACAGACCTGCAGAACAATATGTCGGGGCCAGAGTTCTGTGGACGGCTTGTGGCCTCTCGCGGAGCCTTTGAGTATGAAGGAGGGTGGAAAGGACCCTGCGGTGGAGGGGTGGCACTTGGCACCTGGGGTCCTGGGAGGTGGGAAGGTCTGCCCTTCATTCTCTCAGACCCCGCCTCTCTCCTCAGGGCATGCCTGCCTCACGTCATGGCTTCATCCTTCTTCGACAACTGCATGTTTGACATGTGTAACTTCCAAGGGCTGCAGCAGGAGCTGTGTGCCCACATGTCGGCCTTGACTGAGACCTGCCAGGATGCCGGCTACGTGGTGAAGCCCTGGAGAGGACCCCAGTTCTGCTGTGAGTTGTACCGAGATGCTGGGCCCCTTCCTTCAGATGCAGACGCCTGTGGAGGGCCGGCAGCCTCTGAGCACGGGCTTGGGGAGGGGGGCACCTGGTTGAACCCCTTTGCTTCCACACTAGAACATTTCCCACTAGAACAGGGAAATCTGCAGAGGCAGAAACATCCACGGAGAAAATCACATAGTCACCTGCAGACTCAGAAAGCCTTCCCAGCTACCCAAGGCTATGCATACGTGTGTGAGTGCACATCCAGGTCACTGGATGCACACGGAAAATAGACATGGCCTGGGAGGGTGCACCGTGACTGCTGGTGGTGGCCCAGCTCTCTCGATGGGGCCACACAGGTCCCTGTCCCCGCCCCTCCCAACCTGACTGCCTCACCTCGGCCCTGTCTACACAGCAGTGCCATGAGGCTCTTGGATCAGTCTGCTCCTGTTGCCTTCCTCCCAGAAGCTCCCTGCAGGCCCCCGTCCAGGCCCAGGCGGAAGCCGAGGTCCTTAGTGGTTTCTCCCTGTCACTCTTTTCTCGAGCAGAAAGCTCTAGCCGTGGGTCTTCTGAACTCTGGGCTGTGAGCTGCCTCTTTCCTCCCTTCCCCTCCCCGCCTCACCTGCGCTCCCTCGTCCCCCAGCTCTGGCCTGCCCAGCCAACAGCAAGTACACGCTGTGTGGCAGGACGTGCCCCGACACCTGCCACTCCGGGGTCTCGGGCATGTCCTGCCAGGACCGCTGTGTGGAGGGCTGCGAGTGCGACCCTGGCTTCGTCCTCAGCGGTCTCCAGTGCGTCCCCCGGTCCGAGTGCGGGTGCCTCGACCCCACAGCCGGCTACTTCAAGGTGAGCCACTGGGGCTGGGCCTCTCAGCCGTGCAGCCAGAAAGCGCCGGCCCTCCCGTTCTGAAGTCTGGGCCCGCTCGCTCGTGGGCAGGAGAGGGAAGGCCGGGCAGGGGCGGGGGTAGCGGTCAGGAAGCTGGGGCGGAGGGCTGGGATTAGGGAACTTCTGGCTCAGATCTGATTTGCCTCCTCTTCCTTTGACTCCCGTACTTTTCACACAGTGTGGTTATTTCCCACGCTGCCCAGCAGAGCCTGAGATCCCGGTTCTCTCCCTTCCCATTGGTCGCCTTGCCTGGCACATTCCCAAGTCATTTTCCTGGAGTTTCTCGTTCTCTGAAGTCCTGGGCACATCTGCATCTCACCTGCACTCTTTCCACACGTCTTCTCTCCCACTGAGGGTCCCTGTCTCTGCTGAAGGATTTCAGCCCCCACCCGGGGCCCTGTCTTCACCGTCTTCTCACAGGCAGCATGTGGTGCCAGATCCTCAACCACGATGCATCTCTCTTCCTCCTTCCCCTGTCCCCACCCAAGGCCTGCGGATGACGATGACGTCTGTCCAAGCTCTCCACCACCTACTGTCCATGTGGCTCTCCTCTCCTCGGCACTGCGTTCCAGGAGGGCCCACGGAATGCTCCTTATCCGCACTTAATTTGCTTTCTTAATTTCACCTTCTTTGCAGCCCCTTTCCTCCTGTCCTCCCTCCCAGACACCATGCCTCTTAGCCACCTTCACCTCCTCTGAGACTCTGTTGAAATGCCACCTCCTCCTTGAAGCCATCCTGATAAGCATCTTGGTGATAAACTCTTGTAGCAAGTGCTTATTGTCTGTGTGGATGGCAGGAAACTCTCCCCAGGTGCCCTGATTGTCACCTTTGGGTACATGTCATGTTGGAGCATGTGATCTATTAGTTAATTTGTTTACTGGCCCCGCTGGACTGGGAGTTCCATCAGGGCAGGGACATCGCTCATCGTGTTCATTACTGAATCCCTAATTCCTGGCACAAAGCAGATGATGTCGTTCTGTTGAAAAAGGAACAGACAAGTGATAGAGTGACTGAATGAGCAAGCAAAGGCTGGACTTTTGCAGCTAAGCCTGGAGCTTTGAGATGACAGGAATGCCTCCACAGTGAGCAGGCCAGTGAGCTGGATTGCAGGGGCCTCATCGTCAGACCTGCGGATGACCTCTCTCCCTTCCTTTCTTCTGGTTTCCAGATCGGGGAGCAGTGGTTCAAGCCGGGCTGCACACAGCTCTGTATCTGTGAGGGCAGCAACAGAATTCGCTGTGTGCTCTGGAGATGCCAGGCCCAGGAGCTCTGTGGTCGGCAGGATGGCATCTATGGTTGCCATGCTCAAGGTAAGTAGTCAGGTGCAAGGTGAGCAGGAGGACTGCCGCCTGGTCCTGTCCTGAAGCAGGCTCCCTAGAGAGCTGGAGCGTAACCAGGGACTGGAAGGCAATGGCCCCTAGCCAGAACAGCGTCTTCAGGGACCCAGAGAGTGAGGTTAGGGCAGTAGCTGACCTTGGTCTCTCCAAGTCATACAGACCAACCCCCTGAGCCACGGGTACTAACCCCACGTGGACTCGCTAGGATGGCAGCTCGGGGTCAATGTGTCTCTGAACACCATCTCCTCCTGCCCAGGGTCCGGCACCTGCACTGTCTCGGGGGACCCCCACTACCTGACGTTTGATGGAGCCCTGCACCACTTCATGGGCACCTGCACCTACATCCTGACCCGGCCTTGTTGGCTGAGGTCCCTAGAGAATAACTTCGTCGTGAGCGCCACCAACGAGTTCCGCCATGGGAACTTGGAGGCCTCCTATGTCAGAGCCGTCCACGTGCAGGTCTTCAACCTCAAAATCTCGCTGATCAAAGGCCGCAAGGTCGTGGTAAGTGCTGGTGCCCGCCTCCCCGGCCTCCCCCGCCACAAGCGTGCCCAGCATCCCTTCTCTGCCCCTCCCTTGCCTGCAAGCCCATGTGTCTGACCCGCACTGCCCCAGTTTCTGAGGCTCACCAGCCATCCCCTTCCTGCTGCCTGGTCTTGGCCCCATTGTTGTCCTTGTCCCAGGTGCCTTTCCCTATCATGTCCATCTTGCCTCTGTAGCTGGATGGTCGCCGGGTGGCCCTGCCCCTGTGGCCTGCACAAGGCCGGGTAAATGTGAGGTCCAGTGGCTCCTTTGTCCTCCTCTACACGAACTTTGGGCTTCAAGTTCGCTATGATGGGAACCACCTGGTGGAAGTGACCGTGCCCTCCTCCTACGCTGGCCGGCTCTGCGGGATGTGCGGTGAGTTCCCTGGGCACCTGCAGGCGAAACCAGGGCAGTGGGCAGGAGCCTGTCCTGGTCCTGCTCATCCTCACGTCTGAAGGCATCCTTGGTGCTTGTCGACCCATTACTTGGTTGAGGGCATTGCTCCCGAGGGTAGATATGAAGGGAAGCTGAAAATGAAGGAAGAGAAAGGGCTCATCTTGGTCGGTTGCGTGAAGAGGGAGGGGTGCTTCTTGGTCCTGGGGCTGGGTCTGCAGCCTCTGCTGACTGCTCTGTCTGTCCTCCAGGGAACTACAACAACAACAGTCTAGACGACATTCTACAGTCTGATAAAAGACCTGCAAGCAGCCCTGCACGCCTGGGGGCCTCCTGGAAGTTAAATGAGTTATCTGAACCTGGGTGAGTCAGGAATTTGGGGGAAGCAGGACCCCTGGGGGAAGCCTTGGCGGGCAGCCTGGAGGTGTCCTCTGTGCATCCCCAATCTTTCCTGAAGTTGATAAGAGGCTGCTCCGACCTCCCATGCCCCTGCCTGCTGATTTCTCCCATGCTGATCTGTCTCCTGGGAAGTCCACCCTGAGATCTAACCTTTTGCCTTCCTGCTGCATCTGCTGGCCTTCCCACTTGAGGCGCCTCTCTGTTCTCCTCTCCCATCCTTATTCCCCTTCCTGTTTCCCTCTCCACTTTTGCTTTGCCTTTTGAGAGGCTTCCTCCAATTCTAAATTCCTATCCTTTCCCCACTTCTCCCTGGTCAGCTGCTTTGCTGCAGGTGGCGATTCCCCCAAGTGCCTGGGGGATGAAGTGCCCGATACCTGGAATAAGAACTGTGAAATCTTAAGGAACCCTTTGGGTGAGCCAAATCCCCTTCAGGGGCCCCTTTTCCCTCCCCCCACTCCCAGACTGATCAGGGAGGGTAGGCAGGTAAGACAGGAAGTAGAGGGATGTCAGGAAACAGGCCAAGGGAAATGCAGAGGCAGGGTTCACCTAGAAACACTAATAGGCCGGAAGCTTTTTGCATCTCAGGCAGCAGGTTCTCAGTAATTATGGGTTTTGATCAAAATGGATGTCAAATTCGCCCCAAAGCAGCTGCGTGGTTCTGCTCCCTTCCCTTCCCAAGCTTACTCTCACCTGTGTTGTTTCATCCTCCAGGACCCTTCTCCCAGTGCCACAAGGTGGTGTCCCCGCAGTCCAGCTTCAAAAGGTGTGTGTATGGCCAGTGTGGAACCAAGGGCGATGCCCTGACCCTGTGCCGCTCCCTGCAGGCCTACGCGTCCCAGTGTGCCCGCGCCGGCCAGGTCCTCACCTGGCGGAATAGCACCTTCTGCCGTGAGTGACCTAACCTCCCCTCTCGCTGCCAGGAGGAGTCCCCCAGAGCCCTCCCCTTTCTTCCTCTCCCTAAATTCTGCTCCTCTGCTTTTCCCTTCACAGCCTGGCCCTCAGCCCCGACTTGGGACCCTCCTCTGTTTCCCACTCTCTAGTCTCTCCGAGCCCAGCCCCCACCCTCTACTTGTCTCCCTGCACCAGCCGCCTCCATCTGATTCTCGCCGCACCAAAAAGTTCAGCCCTCATTGTGTTCCTGCCTCCTTCCTCTCTTCACCTGGGCCAGCTCTGTTAGCTTTCTTGCTCTTTTCCAGGAACTCTTCTTTCGTTTGTTTACTTATAGTAAAATACATATAACGGAAAATTTACCATTGTAACGATTTTTAAGTGTCCAGTTCAGTGGCATTCAGTGCATTCACCTTATTGTGCCACCATCACCACCATCACCACCATCATCTCCAGAACTTTTTCATCTTCCCAGACAGAAACTCTGTCCCCGTTAGACACGAACTCCCCATAGCGCTCACCCCAGCCCCTGGCCCCATCATTCTACTCTCCATCTCTATGAATTCAGCTACTTGAGGGACCTCATATTAGTGGAATCACACAGTATTCATCTTTTTGTGACTGCCTTATTTCACTGAGCATCGTGGCCCCAAGGTTCATCTGTGTTGTAGCATGTGCCAGAATTTCCTCCTTTTTCAGGCTCCATTGTGTGGATGGACCCCATTTTGTTTATCTGTTCATCCCATGGATCTTCCCAGGGACTCTTGATGCCCCAAAGTCAGGGAGCTGGCAATCACGCTGCCCTCCTAACACTGGTTTCTTCTTAGCTCTGAAGTGCCCACTGGGCAGTAGCTACAGCACCTGTGCCAACCCCTGCCCGGCCACCTGCCCTGGCCTGAACACCCCATCTCCCTGCCCGTCCTCGCTGCCTTGTGCCGAGGGCTGCGTGTGCCAGAAAGGCCACATCCTGAGCGGAACCTCCTGTGTGCCTCTCAGCCAGTGTGGCTGCACCAGCCAGAGCGGCTCCTACCACCCGGTGAGAGGCCAGAGTGCAAGGGGTGCCCTCCCCTCCCAGCTTCACCAGTTTGGGTGCCAGAGGGCCTGGAGCCAGCAAAGGGGTGGGCCAGTGGTGGGGGCTGAGGAGCAAGTCCAGAAGCCAAGAGCCTGAGAAAGGCTCGCAATGGAGGCGGGTAGCCAAGTAAAGCAAACCTCAGGGGGTGTGCAGGGTAGGGGGCTCCGTTCATCTCCAGCTTCCAAGTTTCTGTTGGCTCTGCTGATGCCCGTGCCCCACAGGTCGGGGAGAGCTGGTACACGGACAACACCTGCTCCAGGCTCTGCACCTGCTCCACCCACAACAATATATCCTGCCTCCAAACGGCCTGCAAGCGTGACCAGATGTGCTGGCCCCAGGATGGGCTGATCCGGTGCCGGGTGGCAGGTAGGAGGCCACTGAGCACAGAGAAGGAGCTCTAGCCACCAAGACGAGTTCTCCTCAGCACCCTCTTCATCAAGAAGGGCTCCTCAGGGTTCACTCATGTTTCCCGTATGGGCCGTGAACTTGGACAGGATATCATGTCTCTCCCTGACCCGATGACACCTCCTCCACCCCCTTGTCTGGACTGTTTTCTTTGTCTCCTTCCTTTCGGGGGCTTCCTCTCCTCCATGTTCTTTCCTTGAAGGTGGGGAGAAGGCCTGCTCTTGCTGGAGGCTGGGCCACTCCTCAGCCACCTGTCTGTCCTCCAGGGATGGGAGTGTGTCGCATTCACAATGGCTCCCACTACGTAAGCTTCGATGGTAGTTACCATGCCGTCAGGGGCACCTGCACTTACATCCTGGCGAAAACATGCCACTCCACCATGGACCTGCCTTTCTTCAAGATCAGTGGCAAGAATGGGAAGCGGGAAGGCCAAGCCCCCAATTTCTACCTCCGCCAGGTCCACGTGGACATCTATGGGTCCCTGGTCACTCTGCAGAAGGACCAAGTGCGGGTGAGCAGGGCGGGCAGTGGGGAGGCAGACGCTGGGGAGGGGGGCTCTTGTCCTCCTTCCTGCTCACGGGTCCTGCCCTCCTCTGTAGATCAATGGCACACGAGTCTCCCTTCCTGCGACCACCCAGGTCCGGGGGGTCAAAGTCACTTCCAGGAACGGCTATCTTGTGCTCAACATCATCATCGGGGTGCAAGTCAAGTTTGACGGCAATGGTTTCATAGAGATCGAACTCCCCAAAGCCTATTATGGAAAGGTGAGGGAAACACCCGGTCTCTTCACAGGGGAGTCAGCCTGCAGGGAGCTGGGTACCAGACCAAAGAAGTCACTCTCCAGAATGGGAAAGGGCTGCAGGGAAGAGGGACTCCTTTCTCTTTGGAGCAGAAAAGGGGGTGCCAATGAAAAATGCCCTCTGCTTTCCCTGGTGCTGAGGATCCCCTCGGTCCCTTCTGCCCACCCAGACTTGTGGCATGTGCGGGAACTTCAATGGTGAGGAAGAAGACGAACTCATGATGCCCAGTGATGAACTAGCCCAGGATGATGTCATGTTTACGGACAGTTGGCAAGATAAGGAAATCGACCCAAAGTAATTGTCCCCGAAGACTCTCTGCCTTTGTGTAGGAATCCGAGTCGGGATCCCAGACCGTGTGGCACACCTGCGGTGGGAAGTCTGGAGTGGTTCTTTCTGACCGTGACTTGAGGGGGTGGCATCTGGGTCCCAGGAACCTATTTGGGGAAAGGTGAAACTCTTCCTTTCTAGGCTTTGAAATGTGGGAGGGGACCAAGGCCACGCAGAAGGCTTGCCAGAGCTCAGGCCAGCTTCCCGGGGAACACAGGCAGGGTCTTCAGGGCAGTTTGGGATCACCAAGTCATTTTCACATGGGGGGCAGTGGCAGTCCCTGTGATGACCCCTCTCCCTTCCCAGCTGCGAAGACGACGACAAGAAGACCGAAGCTGAACCGCAGGAGAAGCCAGATACAAACTGCAGGCCAGCTGACCTGCAGAAAGCCCAGAGACAATGCCAGGCAGCCTTCGGGGCTCCCGCCTGGGCCACGTGTGCCTCCCGTGTGATCCTCAGTCCCTTCTTGCACAGCTGTACCCATAAACTCTGTGAGTTCGGAGGCCTAAACCGTGCCTTCTGTGAGTCTCTGCAAGCGTTCGGGGCTGCCTGCCAGGCCCGGGGAGTGAAGCCTCCAATCTGGAGAAATAGCAGCTTCTGCCGTGAGTGTCCCCGATGGCCACCCCCAAACCGCTCCCAGACCCCGTTTCTGGCTGGGTATCCCTGCAAGCTCCCCCATGCACCTTTTCCGTTGCTCCCGACCTCTCTCTGACCTCATTTTCTCTGACGTGGACCATTTACAATAAGCTCTTAGCCAGTGTGCAGAGACGGCCAGGACTGCGCCAGGACTGCGCGGGCTGCCTCTCGGCGGCTCCTTTCCCCAGGAAATGTGATCACGTCACTCCCCTGCATGGCTGTTGCCAGCAAGTCCAAGCTCCTCTCTGAGATGTTGGAGACCCTGCAGGCTGTCCCAGCGTCTCCTCTTTCCCCACTCTCCATGTGCACCTGCATTGCCTGTGTATCAAACAATCCCCTTCCCTGCACAGGCCTCCCTGCCTTTAAACCACTCCCCGCACATGGAAAGTTTTCTTCTCCCCTCCTGGCAGACTCCAAGGCATCCTTCTCTAGCTCTTTCCTTTCAAAACATTTCTTTTAAGTTATTATTCACATACCGTATCATTCTTGCCTTAAAAGTATATGATTAACTGCCTTTTAGGGTCTTCACAAAGTTGTACAACCATCACCACTATCTGATTCCAGAACCTTTTAAATTTTAAAACAGTGATCAAGTGTTTTAGTACACGATGCATTCATATGGTTCAAAAACTTTAAAAGTATTAAAAGATTCCTATTGAAAAGTCTTACCCTGACCTCTTACCCTGACCCCATGGGCGCATTTCCTAGCCTACTCCTATCAGTATCTGAGTGTTTTTCCAAAGGTCTTTTATTTTTGCACATGCAAACAAACGCAGGTTTATTTTCCATATTTTCTTACAAACAGCAGATGAGATAGTAGTTTGCACTTTATTTTTGTCACTTGACAATCTAGCTTGGAATCCTACATCAAATATGTAAAGAGCAGCATTCTCTTGCAGCTGCATAATATTCCATTATTATATCGTGATTCATTTATCATAATTTATTTAACTAGTCTCCTATTGACGGACGTTTTAGTTGTTTCCAATCTCTAGCTGTTGCACACGGTGCTGCAGTGGATAACCTTATGCAAATATGCTTTTCTATGTGTGTGCCTCTTATCTGTAGGATAAATTCCTAGAAGTGGAATTCTTGGCTCAAGGACTGTGTGGATTTGCGCTTTTGAGAGATGTGGCCAAATGGCCTTCCGTGAGGGTTGAAGAATTGACATTCATTACCACCAGCAACATAGGAGAATGCCCATTTCCCTACAGCATCACCAACACAGAGCATTATCATGCTTTTGGATTTTTGCCAATCTGATAAGAGAAAAATGAAGAGTCCTAATTTGCATTTTTCCCTATGATGAGTGAGGTTGTGCATTCTTCATATGTTTAGGAGCCATTTGGATTTCTCTTTCTGAGATCTCTTCATAACCCATTCACCATTTTCCCACTGGTTTATTGGTCTTTATTAAACTATTTTATAGATGTTCTTTATCTGCTACAGAGAGTAGCCCTTCATTAGTGCAATGAACTACAAAAATTCTTCCAGTTTTTTTCATCTTTGACTATTTTTTTGCCATGCAGAAATATATATAGTTGTGGGGTTGAATATGATAGTATTTTTTTTAAAAGGCGTCTGCATTTTGAGGCATAGTTACAAATGCCTTCCCTACTCGGAAGTTAAGAAAGAATTTGCCCACGTTTTGCTCTAGTATTTGTATGGTTTCATCATTTAAAAATATTTCAGTATTTCAGGGGGGAGGGTACAATTCAGTGGTAGAGTGTGTGCCTAACATGCGCAAGGTCTTGAGTTCAATCTCCAGCACTTCCACCAAAAATAAATAAATAAAAACCTAATGACATCCCTGACCCCCCCGTCCCCAATTTAAATGTTTGAGCCACAGAGATTTATCCTGGTGTGCAGGATGAAAACTGAACCAACTTCGTTTTAACTTTTTCCCGGTATTATTAAACACCAGTCTCTCCTTCTCCACTGAGATACCATGATTTCTATTAAATTCCCATACATATTTAGGTCCCTGTATAAGGCTTTCTTTTCTCTTCCACTGCTCCATTTATCTTCATTTACTAGCAACACGATGTCATAATCATTGAGAGTTTAAATAGTGTTTAAATTTCTGGTAGGGACATTCACTACATACGTACTGTTTTTTTGTTTGTTTCTGGTTTGTTTTTGTTTGTTTGTTTTTAGAGTCTTCCCAGCTTTTTCGGTTTGTTTATAGCCTTATCTCCACATTAATAGCATCTTGTCTTATTTAAAAAACAAAACAAAATCCTGTTGGTAGATTTTATTGGAATCATAGTAAATGTATAAGTTAACTTAGGGAGAACTGATGTCTTTACATTGTGGACTCTTCCTACCTGTGGACATTTCCATTTGTTCACAACTCCTTCTGCAACAAGGGCTTCATTTAACTCCTCCAGCAGAGTGAACACCTCCCTACCCTGTGCTGCTGTCACACCTCATACACACACGCCAGTCACACGCTTACTGACCAGATGCACCAGCGTCGTGCTGGGGCTACTGGCTGACCTCAGAGTCCCATGCTGGATGGGGAGAACCATCCTTACTCCTTTCCTTGGAGGTGGCACATAGCCCATGCTCAGTAAATGTTTCCCCTCTCCCCCTCCAGCTCTGGACTGCTCCACCCACAGCATCTACACAAACTGCCTTCCCTCCTGCTCCCCTTCCTGCTTGAATCTGGAAGACCAGTGCCAAGGGGGCAGACTTCCCTCCACCTGCGAGGAGGGCTGCGTCTGCGAGCCCGGCTACCTGCTCAGTGGGCAGCAGTGTGTGTCTAGGAGTCAGTGCGGCTGCAAAGACACCCAGGGTGCCTACCTCCCTGTGAGTGGGGACGGGACATCGGGGAGGGGGCAACACACCTTCAGGATGGTGCTTTCTCCTCTCCTGTGCCTCTCAGCTGTGGGCGCCCGTGTCTCTAGGTCTGGCCCTGGCTGAGAAGGCTGGTGACAGGCAGGGTTTGGGGTTTGGGGTCTGAGGAATCCAAACAAGTGGGACGTGGCATGGTAGAGTGGAAGGAACACGGCTTTGGTTTGAATCCTGCTAGTACCCCTCACGAGTAAGGAGACCTCTGTGACCTCAGTTTCCTCATCTGTTAACGTGGGCCAGTAGTGCCACCTGATCAGCCTGTGTGAGACGGCAAGCACAGTGCCTTTAGAGGGCAGTGCAGGGGCCGTAAGAGCACAGATGGCTCCGGGGCTGCCTGTGACCAGGGGGCTAGGGCTGAGGTCGGGGAGGAGGGAGCGCTGCCCTGTCGCCCTCACTTCTCATTCCTCCCGCGGCTTCTGCAGGCGGGGAAGTCCTGGCTCTCCGGAGGCTGCTCGAACAGCTGTACCTGCAAAGGGGGAGCCATTCAGTGCCGGCCCTTCACCTGCCCCTCTGGTTCTCACTGCCAGCCCAGCTCCAAAGAAAAGGGCAAGGACAGCTGCACAGCTGACAGTAAGAGTCCCCGGGGAGGTGGAGGGAGGTGGCTCGGGGCCGAGGTGGAGCCAGAGGGCCCTGCTGCAGGGCTCTGGAGTCAGAGGGGTGGAGTGGGCCTGGGCACGCACTCAGGCTCTGACCAGCTTCCTGGTCGCCTGCATGATCCTCTCTGGGCTCTGCCATCTTAACAGCCAAAGGAGGGACCAGACGAGGAGAGCCTTTCAAGCTGGGAGAGGGGGAAAGTTGAAGACTAAGGACACAGGGCTAAGAGGGAAGGCAGCAGGAGACACCAGGGCAGGTGAGGGGCTGTTATATCAGGCAGGGTGCCTTCTCAGCATTGGACCTTCTTGGCAGAGTGGGAGCAATGCACAGTTTTTGGGGATCCCCACTACCGCACATTTGATGGCCTCAGCTACCGCTTTGAAGGACACATGACCTACACGCTAGTCAAGACCATGGATGTGCTCCCCGATGGGGTGGAGCCCGTAGTTGTGGAGGGACGCAACAAGGTGTACCCGTCCTTCAAGCCGGTCTTCCTGCATGAAGTCATTGTGAAGGTCTACGGCTACACAGTCCAGCTCCAGGATGAACTGGAGATTGTGGTAAGAGCTGGGGCAGGCCAGGAGGGGCTGGGGAGGCAGACCTGGCCACAGAGGCCACCTGGAGCAGGTGAAGCCAGGACTTGTGTTTCCTGGGAAGTTTCTGGCAGAGGCTGCCTGGTTGTAGAAGGCACCTTCTTCACTTGGTGGGTGGTTGTGCAGAGAGGGGCAGTGGGATTACAGACAAGGTGGGAGAGAGGCAGGGGGAGACCGAAGGAAAGATCATGCAGTGGTGCAGCGTGGAGGTGGAGTCGGGATGAAGAAGTACCAGGGGCATCCTCCCTGCCAGTTTTTCAGCAAGAAAGGGGCTGGGGCTTCAAGCGGAGCGGAACTCAGGTTGGCCTCTGCCACTGGGAATAAGGGAGCTTCCTGGCGTAGCTTGTTCCCCGGGATGAAGGCAGGGAGAGGCACCGAGATGTGCAAGGGGGCAGAGGCTGAAGCGGCAGAGAGCCAGGTTGCTTCAGGACGCCCCTCGGCTCCTGTCTGCCTTCTCCAGGTCAATGGTCAGAAGATGGCCATCCCCTACAAGCCCAATGACCATCTGTCGATCTTCTTGCGGAGCCATCGTCTGTATCTGATCACAGACTTTGAGATGGTCATCAGCTTCAATGACAGGCACAACGCAGGTAGCTGAGGGTGGAGAGTAGAGGGGAGAAGGAATGGCCCTGGGATGGGGGCAGGAGAACCACATCTCATCTGGGCCTGGGGTGGTGAGAGGACCCCTGCCTGGGAGGGCGGCCCCAGCTCCAGGGGAGGACCCAGGAAGGGTGGCAAGTGATGAGGTGGGCAGTCTCACTTCCAGACGCCCCTTCCTCCTGCAGTGATCTCCCTGCCCATCACCTACCAGAGGCTGGTGCTCGGCCTGTGCGGCAACTTCGACAAAAACAAGAGGAATGACTTTGTGCTGCCTGACGGCACCCTCACCCAGAACCTCCTCCTCTTCGGCAACAGCTGGGAGGTAAAGAAGACTAAGGGAGGAGGCCTCGCCCGCTTCTCAAGGTGAGAGGGTGGGGGCTCTGAGCAGGGAGGCCCGGGCCCTAGGGAGAGGAGACACTGCCCACTGTCTGTCCACACCCCGCTCACCCTGTATCCTCAGCAGGAGGAGGAACCCCGAGGGCCAGGCCCTGGACAGACTCACCTGATTCATCTAATTCCATCATGTCTTTCCTCCCCCGCTGAAGGCGCGGCCCCTGCCTCCGGGTCCCAGTCCCTGCCCATGCCCTCCCCTTCAGCCCCTCCCCAGTTCTTCCTAAGTTCGCAGGCCTCCCGGGCCTTACCTGGCCCTTCACGCTCTCTGCCCCAGGGCCGTAGGAGAGGAGGAAGAGGAAAAAGAGTCAGGCTTTCATGTGTCTGAATGCAGCCCGGAGCAGCTGGAGCTCATCAACAACACCCAGGCGTGTGGGGTGCTGGTGGACCCCCAGGGCCCCTTTGCTGCCTGTCACCAGATGGTGGCCCCAGGGCCCTTCCATGAGTGAGTTGGGGACCCAGGACATGAGGGATGGCCTTTCTCCAGGTCCTGCAGCCTGTTCTCTGATCTGCTCTTTCTCTGTTTGGCTCATGTCTTTCTCCGTGGCTTGGGTACCTTGTCTCTCTCTCTCTCTCTCTCACACACACACACACACACACACAACCGGCTGGAGTTTCCAAGACTGGATTTCCTTGCTGACAGCCCCCTACTGTCCCTGCCGTCCCCCCAGGCATTGTGTGTCTGATCTGTGTGCCGCCTGGGACCCCAAAGAGCAAGAGGAGCTGCGCTGCCAGGTCCTCAGTGGCTACGCCATCATCTGCCAGGAGGCGGGTGCCTCCCTGGCCGGCTGGCGGGACCACACCCACTGTGGTGAGGCCCTGACCTTCCCCCACAGCTGGCTGCTCACCTTCTGGGCTATTTCCACCCTCTGCTCAGCTCTGAGCCCCCACCGTTGACCCCTCCTCCGCATCCTGTCTTCGTTCCCCCAGCCCTCAGCTCTCCCCACGTCAGTGTCCTGGCCCCTTCTCTGCCCTCACCTGGAAGCCTCACCCTGACTCCCGCCACCCTCTCCCGCTCCTTCGCCCACTTCCCGTAGTGGCTACTCCCCCCCGCATTAATGTCACAGACAAAAAGCCACGCAAAACCAGCCCACTCCTCTGCTTCCCTGCGGATACCAGGCTCTGGGCTCTGTGGGGTGGCCGCCTTCCCCATCCCTGTGGGGCCAGCCCCAGCCCACCACCTTCTGACTGCGACTCTGTCCCCTCAGCCTTGCAGTGTCCGGCCAATACTGTCTATCAGAGCTGCATGAGCCCCTGCCCAGCCTCCTGTGCCAGCCTGGTGGTCCCTGGGGACTGCGATGGCCCCTGTGTGGAGGGATGTGCCAGCCTCCCGGGCTACGCCTACAGTGGTGCCCGGAGCCTTCCCCTGTCCCGCTGTGGCTGCACCGACAAGGGCATCTACTATCAGGTCTGGGCCGGCAGTGCGAGGCCCTGGGGGTGGAGGTGCGAAAGGACAGTCAGATGCGGGAGGGAAACCAGACCTCCCCCACCCGGCCCTTCTCCCTCTCCAGCAGGGTGACAGCTTCGTGACCGAGGACTGCTCTCAGCGCTGCACCTGCGCCAGCTCGGGGGTCCTTCTGTGTGAGCCTCTCAGCTGCAGCACTGGGGAGATCTGCACCCTGGGGAACCTCACTCGTGGCTGCTTTCGAGGTGAGCCTGGACCACCCCTTGGCTTCAAGCTGTCCTCTTACCCTGGGCAGGGGGCAGGGGTCCCTGGACTGAGGACCATCCCTCCCAGTCCTATGCCTGGGACTCCACCCCATCAACATCAGGAAGTTCATGCCATTTCATCCCTCTTTCGCTCTCTCTTTTTCGGAAGGTGTAGAGAGAATGGACCCGCCTTCCCTGAGCATCTGCTCTCTGCCGGGCACTGTGCTGGGCCCTTTCCCAGCATTAGCTTCCCAGGATCCCCTTTAGTCCTTACTCAGCACTTGGGGGTTAGCGTAGCCTCCCCATTTTATCAGTAATGAAAACAGAGCTCAGAGAGGGCAAGCGACTTCCCTAGAGCCCAGGGCTCCTGAGTGTACAGCCAGGATTGGAAGCCTGGCCAGAGGACCCCGACCAGCCTCCGTCAGCCCCTGCTTTCTCCTCTGACTATGGGTGTCCTCGCAGAACTCCCTCCCACCGCCCTCCATCCTTGCAGACAGCCCATGTCTACAGAACCCCTGCCAGAATGACGGGCGGTGCCAGGAGCAGGGAACCCACTTCATCTGTGAGTGTGAATTTGGTTACGGGGGAGACCTCTGCTCAGAGCCTCGGGACGTGCTGCCCCGCAAAAAAACCAGGCAAGAACTTCATCCGAGGCCCTGTATCCTCACCGCTCCTTCCCCACCCACGACAGCTGCAGAATTATTCCATGTATATAATAGTAACCTAACAGATAGCTATTACATATGTGCAGTAGATAACATATTTTCAGTGTCATCTATTACTATGTAAAATCTAATAATACAACATTATTGATCAACATATATGATCCCTAAAGATTAGCAGGACCGGGGCCCTACCCACACACTCTGGAATCTTCCCTCTGAACCTGATTTCTCCACTTCTGTGATCCCAATGCATCACCCTACTGTTATTCCCCACTCTTGTGTCCCTCTAAGCCTCTCCAGTACCTTCTATTGGTTTTTTTCCACAAGCCTAATTCCCATGAGCCTCTGGGCCAGTGGTTCTCCAACTTTATCCTTATCTCGCGCCTAAGATCGGGGTAGGCCGGGGGTGTCTTGTTTAACATGCTCATTCCGGGACCCACCCCAAGGATTTGGATTCGGTAGGTCTGGAAGGAGCCCAGATATCTATGTTTTTCATAAGCTCCCAGGTGACCGTTGGAAGTGATTCCAGAAGCCCTGGCCAACATAATACCCTCGTCTCTAGGGGACTGGCTGGATGAACGTCCCCCTGAGAGGTTTATGGGAGTTGCGTGTCCAGCAACAGGAGGACAGCGCCAGGGCCTTGAGACCCTTGGGAGCGGCAGCCTCCTAGAAGGAGAACCAGCCACCCAGGGATTTAGGGGGTGGGGTCCCTTCAGGGAGGCAGCCGAGGACTGAAAGGGAGTGTCTCTCCCCTGCCTCTTCCTATCCCATGTCCCTGTTTCTGTTTCCTGCACCCAGAAGCATCCAACTTTGTGGCCATCCTATTGGGAATGCTGGTGCCCGTGGTGGTCATAGTGCCCGCAGTGACCAGGGAGTGCATTTCCAGGAAGCGGCAGAAGAGGAGGTGAGTTGCTGGGGGGCTGGTGGGAGAGAGTAAGCATGGGGAGTGGGTGCCAACCTTCCACCCTTGTGTCTGTTCCCCATGCCCTCAGGAATAAAAGGCAGAGCCAGAACCGAGACAAGCTGGCGGGTCCAGGTGAGCCTTGACCCTGAGACCTCGAGAAAGTTCTTCTCGCTTTCTCCTCAGACTTTGCTCCAGAGCACGCCTTCACCATCGCTGAGTTTTGAGTTGTCCACAAAAAAAAAGAAATAAAATTGTTAATTTTTGAGATGTGAATTTCCACATGATTCTGGTAGAGGAGGGGTCTGTGAGGTGGGTCTTGAGGGGAGAAATAGGGAGACTGGTGTTTGGAGGCTGAGGGCTGGGTGCCTCCCACAATGTCCAAAGGGGTGGGGAACTGAGGTCTGAGGAGGTAAGGGGCTGTCTGTCCCTTAGACAAAGCCACGTGAGGGTGGGCCATCTACCTTCTGGTTTCGGGGATACAGGAGAAAGGACTTGACCCCAGGAATCCTAGTTCTTAAAGGACCTGGCCTCAGAGCTCCCCACCAGGGGTAGTGAAGGGTGACCCTGAGGAGAGGATTTACATTTCTAACAATGAGATTAATCTCTGGGCAGAGGCTAAGGATGGAGAATGTGGCTTTGTCCAAAAGGTGAACGGGCCTGTGACCCTCTGGGGAGGTCCCCACCTTTTGCACGTGTCCATTTCCCAAAAGGGCCTTGGAGTTACTATGGTAACAGAGGAGGGGGGTCTGAGGGCCAGCTTGTGAGGAGTTTTGAGCCCCATCCTATTAAGAGTGACCAGCTCACCTCAGCCAAAGGCCACAGTGCAAACATTCCCACCCTGAGCCCCGTGCCTCGTGCCTCCCACCAGGCAGGTCCTTGCTTGGGGAGGGGCTGGGCCATCCTGCTTGAGCTCTAAGAAGAAAAGGAAGGCTACCAACTGGGGGGTCAGGATGTGGGACCCCACGGGACAGGGGACGCCAAAGTAGGCCAGACACTGTGTTCTAGAAAGGAATCCTTATTCTGTGCTAGCCTCCAAGAAAACCCCGGCAGCCGCCTTCACGCAAAGAAGGGAGACCCCAGGTGGTTGGGGAAAAGGCCCCAAGAAGGGAGGGGTGCCCCTTGGCGGGGGGAGCAGCTCACAATCTGGAACTGGGCATCCCGGGGCTCCAAGCTGCATGCCTGCCCACCCCCCCAGCTCCCTTCACCTGATCCTTGACCCTTTGCCTCTCTATTCTTTTGTGCCCTGCGCCCTCCATTTCTGCTCCTCCCCTCACCCAGCTAAGGTCACCTTATCTAGCCTGGATGTCTGGTTGGCAGGGGAAGGGGTTGGCCTAGACCAGCATTCTCCGGATAGACCTCCTCCTTCCAGAAGGGAACCCATACTCCCTCCGCCCTCGGCAGGACCAAGTCCTTCTCATCCCCTTTTGGGGGTACAAAACATGGGTCGTATGTATTTGAAGGAGGGGACAGAGGATTCCAGAGTATTAGAGACTCCAGAAGATGGTTGTAGAGGCCGGAAATCGGGACAGGATCACTGCTGGAGGCTCCCTGGGCTGGGAGGGGCAGAGATTATGACTTGAGGTCCTGTAGTGACCCCAACACGACAACAGGGGGCAACTGAGATGTAGAAATGGCAAGGCTGCGCCAGCTTGACAAAGCTGACCTGGTCCAGGCCTGCCCCTGCAGGTGTACCGGAGGGTGGGCAGACTGGGAGCAAAGAAGGAAACCAAAGACGGTGAGAAAGACAACAGGCGAACTGACCCCATCCTCATCTTCCTGTTTGGAAAGAAGTTAGGGGAAGACATTCAGGTGGTTTCCCCTCCCTTCCCAAGAGGCTGGGAGAACCTGCCTGGGCAGCATCTTGAAAGGGGGAATTGTCCTCCCACCCAGCCCAGCGTGCACGTGTGTGTGTCTGTGTGTGTGTGTGTGTGTGTGTACACATGGGGGGTCCACATCTTCCCCTCCAGCCTCTGCCCTTCCCCCACAGCCAGTGCAGACACTCCCCCCCATTGCCTCTAAACCAACCCCAACATCTGGCCCACATCTGCCTTCTTCATCGACTGGACCTCCGCCCCAGCCAGTGACCCCTCCCCCCTCAGGGGGCTATAGGGCAGGGCTCTGAGCTCAAGACCTCCTTGCCTTACCGAGCCCCCTGCCAGGGCTAGGGAACCAGGGCAGGGGAGGGAGAGGGCAGCCCCACCCCGGAGGTGCCCCAGGCTCTTGGCAGAGCCATCTGGAGCCGTTAGAAGCAGCTGCCAATGACTCATCTCCCACTGCCCCTACCCCACCACCTCAAACACACCCTGGAGCTGGGAACCAAGCACCCAGCCTTCCCACAGCCCCGTCACCAGACCTCGGACCCCTTTCAGTCATTCTGGCTCAAAAGCTCCTCCACACTAGACCCCACCGTCCTCAGAAGGCTAGTCCATCCTCCACCACCCCACTCCCAGTCACCCCAGAGCCAGGACACTTCCCATTTTCTTTTATTTATACAAAACAATTGTTTTAAATATAACTTAAGAACCCCTCCAAGCACCGGTGTCTTGTCTCTAGTTTCCACCACCGCTTGCCCCCCACAACCCCTCATGGACACAGCCAGGGTGGGGGTTTGGGAGGAGGCAGGGAAATGTCTGGGGCTGTGGCCTGACCAAGGCGCTGTTTTGGAAACAGACACAACGATGGGTCCCTGTTTCAACTTGGGCAAAGGAGGCGATAATGAAACAGGTCCCCTCTAACACAGAAAGGTATGACAAGGACGGTACGAAAACGAAAAAAAAGGGAGGGGGAAGGAAAAATAAGACCAAAAACAAAAAATAAAACTCAAAAACCTTCAATATGAAGGCAGCAGATGGGGGAGGGGCATTTACAAGGGAAAACTGAGTTCAGTGGAGACAGCAGCAAGGTCGGGACATCCAAGCCCAATGCTGTCACTGGGCCCGGACGCCCCTTCCCGCCTGCGCTGCAGAGCTGCACTCCCGAGCTCGCAGGCTAGTCGCCCTCTTCTCTTTGGTCTGCAGGGCCTCAGCCCTTCAAGGTGAGGAGGGGCACCCGGGGCTCCTAACTGGGGATGGAGAGAGGCTGCGGGGGTGGGGCCCAACCACCCCTAGGCTGCTGGCAGATACAGAGCATCACTTCTCCTCTGGTCACACCCAATCCTGAGGGAAGTGCTCTCCCGCACCCTCGGTTTGGGGTTCCCTACCTGGGGGCATGTGATTTCCACACTCCCATATGGCAGAATCCCCAAATCCTGTCTCTCCAAATTGCCAGCTCCTCACCCCCGTGGGTTCAAAGTGCAATCCTGTGGGGCGCAGGAATGGGGGCCTCTTGGGTCCCCACCAGACTCTGTCCCAGGAAGAAGGGGAGCTGTATTCCCAGCATGGGAATTCCTGCTGCTCCAGAGCTGTGGGGCCAGGAGAGGAGGTGCAGGTCAGTACTGGGGGGCTGGTGCCGCTGACCCGCCTGGGGCTCCAGGCTTGGCCTGGGACTTCATGTGCTGGACACTGGCCAGGATTTTCTTCTGGTGTCCCGCCAGGGTGACTCCGATTCGGAGCAGGTCCCTGGGGAAGAATGGAAAGCTAGGTGAGGCCATGGGGCTCCCAGGGGGTGTGTCTTCCACAGAAACCCTGTCAAAATTTTGGGATTGTCAACCAGTCCTGTGGGGAAGTGGGGCAGACATCAATAGTTGCCGGATAGTTTCCGGAGAATTTAGGAGCCCTGCCACAGTCCCGAGCAGATGCAGTAGTGGGTGGAGCTAGGTACGGGCAGGGGCCAGGCGGCAGGAGGTAAAGGGCTGCAGTATGGATGGATTAAGAAAAAAGAAAAGGCGGGGGATCAGGGGAGGAATGAAAGGGAGAGAAAAGCCCATAAAATGAGGTTGGGGGAAGGGGCTGCACTGACTGTTCTAGCAGAGAAAGACGTCAGAAGGAAAAGGCCAGAAAGAGGAAGAACTGGGTGGGTGGAGAGGAAGGGGAGGGAGGGGACAAAAACAAACTGCCCCCACCTCCCATCCTGATGCCGGGAGACTGAGATAAGGGAAAAAGATGAGGTGAGAGATGGAGGGCAAGAACCCTTGTGTCAGAGAACCCGTGTCAAGGAGAGGCTGGAGGCAGTCAGGGAGGGGGCGCCCAGACCCAGTGAGGCACACTGGCCCGCGACCTGCCTGCCAGAGAGAGGGCCTCCTGGACCCTCTGGGTCTGGATTTCATTCCTTCTACTTCTGTTACTCAAACCTGGGGCAAGAAGAATCCTTGGGAGAGAAACGGGAAGGCAGAAGGTAGGACCAGGGAGAGGCCAACTAGGGAAAAACAGTATTTGTGAGGCGCTGGTATCATAAAACCATTTAACATTAAAGCTGGAAAGGATCTCCAAAACCCAGTCCAACCTTCTCCTTTTATGGGTGGGAAAACATCCAGAGTTGACACATTGTTAATGTGAGAGCAGGGCCTGGAATGCAGATAGATGCACAAAGATAGATACAGATTCTGAGGCGGAGTGAGATGGCCCAGGGCTGAGATGGTACACATCTCGGCGGGGTGAGGCGGGCACAGCTGGCCTGGAAGATTCCCCGGGGCTCTCAGCCCCAGCAGCTGTTACTGCTTTGGGTGGGAGGAGCTCCAGAAAATAGAGTTGGCACCGGGAGTTGACCCCAAAGCCCCCTGCTGAAATTGTGGGCCTGATTCTGGTCCCCAGGCACCCCCTACCCTCTACCTCCAGCTCCTGCCACAACTTACTCAGTGGAGATCTGGCTGACTAGCTCAAAGGAGCCAAACCCAGCGGCTGCAAAACTTTCTTCGTATCTTCCCATCTTGATGGCTCGAAGCCACTCACCCACAGAGCCAAAAGCTGAGTAGTGAGGCTGCCGCTGATCCAGGAGGGGGTGCGAGGCCCTGGGAGGCAGGGATGGGGAGGGAGCACTGAGAACCAGTCTCAGTGGTTCTCAGTGTGTGGACGGATATAGACCCCAGGATTGGAGAGCTGGACAGGGGCCATCCCACATACCACCAAAGGGATGGATCCTTCTGTGGGGGAGGGAGGGTCTCAGGGGGTGACAGAGTGCAGGAAACAGGGCCTGCTCTCTGGGGTCCTCACCCTCCATTCTCCCTGGCCACGATTTTGAGGCTGGCAGGGTTCCGGATCATCTTGTCCAGGGCGCTGACCACCTGGGGGAAGCGGGGCCGCGCATTCCGGTCTTTCTGCCAACAGTCCAGCATGAGCTGATGCAGG